AAAGTAGGTCAACTTTTAGAATCTCCTTTGATAAATCATATAAAACTTGAATGGTAATAATCAAGGCCATACTTATTTTTTTATGATTTTTTGTCTATTTTCGCTAAATACACAAACTGAGACCCAGGCATTAACATACCTGAGTTGTTTATTATTCTTCGATGTTGCGAATTTTTGCTTTCAGAATTATACATTTTCCTAGCTAAAGATGTAATATGAAAAATAGGAAGATGATCTGAAATATCAGTAAAAATTAATCCATTCTTACTGCTTTCAATTTGTTCAATGTCATTGGTGAAAATATTGTCAATTAATGTTGCGGTGTGTTCCGTTATCCTCGTAGGCCTAGTTATAAGAGGGAGAAAGGATGATGTAAAAAGTTGCTCACTGAATCTGTCCGAAATCTCACAACTTTCAGTTTTTAAAAGGTCTATGTTAAAATCCCCCATTAAGTAACTTATTTTTTTTTACTTGTCTATTTTTGTAAGAATTTTACTGATACCAGTTTCAAATATTTCAAATTTTCCGTTCGGCGGTCTATATATCGTGCCAACAATTATATTCTTGCCAACTGTTGTGACTATTTCAATGAAGAGCGACTCAATTACTCCTTCATTAATATTAAGGTCAGGACGAAGTTTGAAGTTCAAATTATCTGAAATATACATTCCAACTCCTCCGCCTTTTTTATTGTCTCTGTTCGTGCAAACAAAGCTAAAATTATCAAGATTAAAATCTGTACAGTTTTCGTTATCAAGCCAAGTTTCTGTTAAACTAATTATTGAAAATGAGTGTTTTAGTGATTCTAACAGAATCTTAAAAGAGTCGAGTTTATTTACTATACTTCTAATATTTAGATTCAAAATAGAAAAGAGTTTGTTATTTGATATGTCTCGCGAGACATCTTTTGGAAGATAATATTTGCATGAGATGTTATCAATGTTATACTAAGCATATTATTGTCGCAATCATTATTCCGGTAGTTGTGTGTTGCATGTCAAAAGGGTTGAATTTAAGTTGCATTAATCTATGCATATCCCTCTCGTTGGGAAGTCGGGAAAAATCTCCAAAAGTAAAATTAAAATCAAGTTCACTTATTGAACTAAAAGGCAAAGCATCGGTTATGCACAAGTGACATGTTTCAATTTCCGTCTGTTGACATGTGCGAGGTGATTGAATGCAAGCGTCCCTGGCATGGAACCACCTCCCACACGTCACACAAACAATGCCGCTTTTATCCATGACTATTTCACGAAAACATGTTGAGCATAATTTTATCTCTATGTTTGTAGAAGCCATATTAAACTAGAATAGATATAAAATGTTAATATTTTTAACGCAATACCTTTTAATTGTTATTGGGAATAAATTCCACATTATTGATAAAAAGTTTGTCTTTGTTTTTCCGCTTTCGCTCTTCTCATCTCGGGGTATAATTTCTGTCGCACTTTCTCTATTTCTTCAGGGAACTGTTCGGAGATCCCAATCCTTGTTCCCTTCAGTTTCCTGGCGTTTCGGCGGATTTTCTCTCGATCCGGGAAAAAATTAAATTTGGGGACAATAGCTCTCGGCTTCCTGCGACTATCGCGTTTTCTGCCAACTCTATGCGCACGGTCGATTTTAATATTTTGACGCACGTCTGGCATATCCAATTTCTCCTCTAGCAAGCTATAGATTACCTCAGCGCAATCTTCTTCGTCGGATTCCTCGATATTGTGGAACAGTAAGTTGTCCCGCATTGATCTTGCTTTAAGGTCGACCACGGTTTCTTGAAGCCTCTTGTTTGACTCTTCGAGTTCCCCAATCCTCGTCACGTTTTTTCTTCCGTTTTTTTTTTCTCTGTTTCATCTCCTCCTTGATATCAGCGATTTATGCGTGAGCAAACTCCATGGACTTAGTCAGGCTCTTCACGTTTTGCTCGACAGATAAAATGCGCTCGTTGATCAAGTCGAGCGTCTCCAATTTCACCATAACAGATTTCATCATGGTGTATAACTCGTCGATTTTGCTAATTTCTTCTGGGTTTTCAGATGTCATTGCTTTCTTAGATGTCTTAGGTGTCTTATTTTCTGAATTCCTTACTTTGTTAGGCGTATTATGGGCAGATTTAGCAAATTCTTGCGTGCTGCCTCTCGAAGGTTGTTGTCTCTTCGACATGATATATGATATAAGAAAGTCGCGCCTGTCATAGCCAGTGTATAAGCAGCACAGTGGTGGCAGTCGCTTTATTTTGTTGAACAGCGGTTTTGAGGATCAATTATCTTTTTCTGCGTGTGTCATAAACAGTATATACATTATATATATACAATTATATATGTATACATACAATTCCATCCGCCTCGTTCTGAAAAGCTATGCAAGATAAAGCTGTGTATTATATATAGCCTACATACAATTCTTACGTTCTCAAAAGCCATGCAGGGAAACTGCTATTAAAATGAATCAAAATGATTAACGGCTTTAATTAAGCCTTAAGTAAAGCCGAAGATTAACTTTTATTATATAAAGCCGCGCGTGTCATAAACACTATAACACGATTCTCCCGTCCTGAAAAGCCAAGGAATATAAAGGAATATTAATTAACTTACATAAATCTGCGTATTATACATACATATACAATTCTCTCGATTCTCTTTATCAAAAGTAAGGACAAGTATACCTACTAAATGTAAAATGAATATTAAATTTATTATTTTTTATTTATTTCACCAATTTCCGCAAATTTACAACATATCAATTAAAACTAGAAATGAATATTAGCTGCGCGTGTCATAAACAGTATACATATATACATTACAATAGAGAGTAAATTAATATACGAACGTATTATTTGTATACATAAAATTCACTCGTTCTCAAAAGTCAGCTGCAAGTACTAAATGAATATTAACTTAAAGCCGTGCTTGTTAATACATACATGCAGTATATACATATACAATTATCTCCTTCTGAAAAGCCACACAAGTACGAAAGGAATATTACGTAAATTCCCAATCCATCCGTTACCAATGGTACGGATCGACAACATTTTGGAGGCCTCCCTTAGACACTCGAACGGCTGAGCACTAGATTCACGGATCGACAATTCATATTTTCCGATCGTGAATTCCCAGTCTATCCGTTACCAATGGTACGGATCGACAACATTTTGGAGGCCTCCC